ATAACGCAGCCATCTTTCTGACCTAATTACATTTCAGTTTAGTTTGTAACCATTCAAATGGAAATATTTCTTCATGCTCATTGTTTATCTATTTTCTTTACTCACTTGCTTCTTTTCAGGGTAACAGGAAGCTGATGCCATCTGGATAAGTCTTCAGTCCATCATTAGGCTACATTATGTGTATGGGCTTATTTTGTGGGGGAAACCTGGAGAATACTCACATATACACAGGCAGTGGTGCCCCCAATGGGTGGTCAGGGGGCCATGCCCCCCCTGGAAAATAGCTGGCAACCCTATTGGCCCCCTAATGTAAGAACATCCTTCCACCCCCTAATAAATCCTTTTGATGTCCATACAAATCCATCCATCCATCCATCTTCTGAACCCGCTCTGTCCACGTAGGGTTGCACGGGGGTGGGGGGGGTGGGGGGGGGTGGGGGGGGGGGTGGGGGGGGGGGGGGGGGGGGGGGGGGCTGGTGCCTATCTCCAGCAGTCAACGGGCAATTAGGCGGGGTACACCCTGGGTGGAGAGCCAGTCCATCGCAGGGTAACACAGAGACACACAGGACAAACAACCATGCACACTCACACCTACGGACAATTTAGACAGACCAAACAACCTAACAGTCATGTTTTTGGATGGTGGGAGGAAGCCGTAGTACCCGGAGAGAACCCATGCATGCACAGGGAGAACATGCAGACTCCATGCAGAAAGATCGCAGGCTGGGAAGCAAACCCAGGACCTTCTCGCTGCAAGGCAACAGCTCTAACCACTGTGCCACTGCGCAGCCTCCATTCAAATCATACATTGATATTCTTAAGTCAAGACATACTGTAAGTGTCAAAGCCAATAAATAGGTAAATACAAGTCACTATAGCAAAGCCTCACATGTCCAAAAAAAAGTATAAAACAGGGGCTGCATGACTTGATTTTTTTTAAAGTCGACAGTCAAGTAATGAAAATCGAGTTGACTTTGACCAGTCGTTGATGACGTCATACACCTGAAGCGAGTTGGTTTGCTGGAGTTTTTGACAATTAAAATTGCGCCCACATTTTCAAAGTTAAACACATCTATTATAACAACGGTAGTTTCTGCATCTTTACCGTTCCCCTGCTTCAGCCCTCTCCCCCCTCCCCCTGCGCAGTGGCCGCAAACTCACTAATGCTCCTGCAGCCTCTCCGAGGTTGCTGCTGCTCTAAACATTAAAATAATTATTTCATTTTCTGTTCCTCACTTCTGATTACCTTCAATGGCGCCTGTTTGTTGCAACCACCAGGTACAAAAACTAACTTGTTTTTATGTGACTATTTTTCTGTTCTGTCTCTGTTTATTATCTTCCTGCATCTCGTCTCAATCCTAAAGAAAAACTGCTACCTGGCTTCATATATATTCACCTTATGAGTTACCTTTGAACTGCAGTTATAAAAGATCTTCTGACCGCAAAAATAGCGGAGTGCGCGCTGGCTGCACCGGTGCAGTGCGTCACCGAAGGACAAAACAGGTGATGCGCTCCGCTCCGCAGCAGCGAAACGCATCAGGCACAAATAAAAGACACAAATCATAAAAGGAAATTGGTCGACATGAACAATAGCGTGCTAAATTTGTTTTGAGGTGGCAGCACCTAATTTGATAATGTTACTGTGGCCGTGCTCAGGACGCAGATGTCTGGAGCGCGTCAACGATCAGAGCTTTGCATGCGCACGATGGTTAAGGTTAGGATGGGGGTGAGGGGAAGGTTGAATTGCAAGAGGGTTAAGGTCACAATTCGGTCAAATATCCGTTTTACGGCTGGCGTCAGATACCGACGCTCTGGCACGGTGCATCGGTATCTGACGCGCAGGGTCTCATCACCTGCTGTCTTTTCCGAGGACTGCTTCTTGTCAGTCATTATCTCGTGACAGCGACTAGTCTATGAAGGGTATAAAAAGTCACTACAGAGCAGTGAAGTCGACTAGTTGATACAACCCCAGTATAAAACCCAATAGTTTATGGAAATGGTTTTGTTAAAGAAAAAAAAGGGCAAATTTAACTCTGTTAAAATTCTAAAACAATAACATTTAAAACAGTGACTGAAATATTTGTACATTTTTAATTGTGGTTGTGTTTCTCTAATTTGAGGGAAATGTGTTAAATGCATTGACCCATAGTTTTGTTTTTTTTATTACGAAAAATAATAAAGGAGCAATGCAATGCACAACTAGGCTAAATTCTCCCAAAACCATCACAGTGACCAATTTGGTGCCCCCCCCCACACACACACACACACAATTATTCACTGGTCCCCCATGACAATTTCTAGGGGCACCACTGTTCACAGGGGAACCATGCAAACTCCAGTGAGAAAGTCTCCTGCCAGGTGTTGAATATGCAACCTTGTTCTTGCACGAACACACTGCTAACCATCTGCAACACCACGCAATTAATATATTTCAATGCATGCCTCATCTCATGTTCACTGCATTTCACATAAGCAGCATCTGCTTCATACATCTTATTACCTGCCACCATCAACTATTTATATCTAACGTGTGCATATGCTACACACCTCAACATAAGGTGATGAAGATGCGCGTTCACAAGATAGATAATTGTTGGTACCTCGGGTTTGATGGTACTGATGATGGTGATGATGATGATGATTACCTCTTTGATAAACAGATGCAAAGCATGTCACAGGGTGAAAATTCTTTCTTGGTTTTATTTATTTATGTTACAACTTCATTTAGGGGAAACAAACATTTTAAGAACAAAGCTTTATACTCCACCCTAGATGGTAACACTTTCTCAAACTGGAATATGTCATAATACAGTAGATGTAAGAAAATAAAACAAAATAAAATCTAAAATGGAAACATTAGTTTAAATATGCATGAAAAATGGGTGCAACTGAACATAAAACATAAATACTAAGGCAAAACTGTAGTAAAAATATTATTTTCCAAAGGTTCTGTTTAGTAGACTTCATGAGCATTTGTTTTTTTATGATTTGGCTAACAAAGATATCAACGAAGACAAACTTATTGCCTTATAGGTGACATATGGGCTGCATGGTGGTGCGGTTGTTAGCACTGTTGCCTCGCAGCACGAAGGTTGCAGGTTCGAAACTCGGCTGCGGCCTTTCTGCGTGAAGTTGCGTGTTCTCTCCATGCATGCGTGGGTTTCCTCCGGTTTCCCCCACAGATCACAACATGCCCTATAGGTTATACATTGTAAATCGCTTTGGATAAAAGCATCTGCCAAATAAACATAAACATATTCTGAGTAAAACTGGAGTTAAAAATGCTAAAAATAACTAAGAGTATTAAAAACATGGGCACTAAAAAGTCTCGAAGAAATGCTGTAAGTTTTACACAACTGCCATAAAATCAGACTTTGGGGCTGGTAAGTCACATGTTATGTGTGTGTATACCATGGTTCCAACAATTGTCCTCTAAATAAATTGGTGCCAGATACACTTGGGACTGAAGACCGTCACTCATAACAAGAGTGACCAAGAGAATATTCCGGAACATTTATCTTATTAATAAATGTTGCTCATTTCACACGTGCGCAATTTTATTGTTGTGACTGATTATGCTTCCTGTGTAAAATATTGTATTGACATTCATTACATACTAGGGTTTAAAGAGACTTCTGTAGATATTCAAGTATCTATTCTGTTTGTTTACTTGAGTAAACTTTAAAAAAAGTACAGGTTTAAGTAGAAAAGTAAAAGTAAGTTAGGAAAAGGGTATCCCAGCATGACCACACCTCCCTAGAAACATTTTTCAATGACAAAGATGTGTAAAAACTTTAATGTTGATAAATGTAGTTATCTGTTTCAGCAACATATACACCCATTGAAATTCAATAAATTTTTTGTAATGCAAATGCTTTTAGTTTGAGTGTTTTTTTAAGAACAGAAGAAAATATAAATTACCCAAACTGCTTAAGTAAGGCAACAAAGTACTTGACACACTTGGAAATAAAATGAGTGCTATTACAGGGGAAGTATTGACAAAAACAATACAAGCATGTTTGAAGACTAATGCTGAGACATCAAGGACTTCTAAACTTCTAAATCACTTATATATTTTATTGAAGTATACTAGATTCCTCATGGTCCTATAGCAAATAGCAAATTGCACAAATTAAAGAAGCACGGTAAAAATACCAAAATATAAGAAACAGAAAAATCATGAGAATAATAAGGGGTAATTGTAAAAAAATAAAATAAATAAATAAAAATAAAAAAGACATAATGGGAAAAAGCTCATTTAGGGTGTAACGCACTGCTTTACCAGTGTTTCGCATATAACTACCAACTTATAAACCTTTTTGAGAGGAAAACAGAAAAGAATTGCTAAATAATAATTAGTTAATGTCAGCCTCTGCTGTCGCCTTTATTCCACGTTAGAAAATATACAACCTGCGTGTATTTTACTAAACATCAAAGTTCATTATGTAGTGATGTCACTTTTGCCTGGAAATTCCGTGTCACGTCTGAGCCTCTCCGGCACCGTGGGTTTCCGGTGGACAGACGCTTGTGCAGACGGAGGCGCTGTCCAAGGTGCTGCATTCTGCCCCTCCCCGGTAGACAATCACGGGGAGTCACGTGACAGACGTTCCGTCCGCGGCTCCTGACAGTCGCTGGATAAGCTCAACAGGGAACCACTCTGCTGCACCTCCTCTTCCATCAGGAGAACTGGATATTCGCTCCGCGCCCCAAACACCGTCCCTGCCTCCCGTTTCCTTTCATTCCCAAACACCGGTGTCTCTTTCACGTTAACAATTAAATCTGGAGGAGAAAATTTTAAAGGTAATAATTATTTTATTAAAGCTTTTAATAATTTGAGCAGAGTTAGTGAGAGTGGACTATCTCTCTCTCTCTCTCTCTCTCTCTCTCTCTCTCTCTCTCTCTCTCTCTCTCTCTCTCTCTCTCTCTCTCTCTCTCTCTCTCTCTCTCTCTCTCTCTCTCTCTCTCTCTCTCTCTCTCTCTCTCTCTCCGTATCTCTAGCTGCTGCTGTGATTCACTTGAAAGCAGATCTTGATGTGCGGCTTTAGCCAAAGAGGATTTGAGGTACAGGCTCACCAACAAACGGGAAATATGGACGCTGGTTATTAGGATCTCATCCCACGCTCCTGGAAACCGCTGTTTTGTTCCTTTTCTGCCTCTTCAACCAACTATTTAGGGTCCCGCAGAAGTAGAGGTGTGCGCGCGAAGGTAAAAGAATAAAAAATAAATACTTTGTTTTAATTCTAAGGAATTAGCGTGACTGACTATGCTGCAGGAATGCACGAATTAATTACACAGTAATTATTTAGCGCCGAGTTTGTGGACGGACCTGCTCCAGGAAACGATGTGAAGGTATGGATGAAATAAGGAGATGACGGCGAAGATTAAAATCTGATGAGGATTAACTCATCATCGCGTCATTTTCATCTCATTTATCTTCAATTGAGCGATGGGAAAATACAATATTAATCTGCAACCTAGTCGTGGTTTTAAACGCTGTAGTTAAACTGCAAAGATTTAAAATCTCTAATTTAAGATTAAAGATTTAAATTAATTTGCATGCAAGGAAAAAAGCGAAATAGTGCGAATACGTTAAAAAGAGGGTCTGCCTGAGACCCGGACTGCGCTGTCCGACTTCCACAAACCAACCATTGTGGCAAATGACGCACTTTTTCTCATGTTCACACTTCAGCCGACAACACACGTCTGCTGCTTCATTGATGCCCGCAGAAGACTGGGTTTTGACTCCCAAACAGCCTTTTGCCTGAGCTGACTGTTGAGTTAATAATGATCATTATCAGTCTTTATTCTTTTACTTGTTTGTTTGTGTTTTTTGCTATCTTTGAGTTTCTTCAGTGAAATTACATTTTTGCTGAAGTAGTACTTGAGCACTGTGATCAGCTATTGTGTGATTTAAGTGCAGCTGCTTGTTGTAATCTAATGATACAGCTGTTAGTCTAACAAAGGCCTCCCCAGTTAGAAGTGACTAACTCTGCTTCTGCCTTCATCATCTAATTCTTACTTTTAGGACTTTAGAGGATTTATTGCGTTGAAAATCACTGATTGCTTTATTAAAATGTCTTTTTTGGGTGTTTGTTTGCAGGATGCTCTGAGACGAGGACTGCCTTGATGGACAAACCGCTTCTTTCCCTGCATCTTATCAGCCAACGTTGCCTCTTTGCTACTGAGGATGCGGGGTTGAAAAGCCCTGAGCAAGGCTTCCAGTGACTTGCCAAATAATACGAGCTTGAACATGAAGATTAAAGCTGCCATTTCGACTCAAGTGAAACCGTGCAAACAATAACTGGCACCAGAACGGACTGTTTCGTAATTACACAGATAATGCTAAGTGTGCCCACTGGATATCTGGATTTCTGTCACTTTGCTTCAGCTAAGTATGGCAGCAAAGACCTGTGAGCAGTTCAAACGGTTTTAGTGGGAGCAGTGAGAGGTTTGGCTGTTGGCCTGGACAGCATGAAGTGTTTGTGCCAGAATACAAATGTTGGCTAAACCCAGTTATTTGTAAATCTACGCTAACGTTTTGAATCCTACTTTACAATGCAGCAGTTTACACTTCTGTGTGTCAGCATAGACAGCCAACTCTCACAGTCAACCCAAGACACGTTTATTCATAATCAAAGGATCCTATAAGTAAATTATACTAAGAATTACGCCTACAGAAATCCATAATCACACAATGGTTGTACAAAAGCTGCACAGTACCCATTTTATTTGGGTTGGGCTTCTTCTTTTCTGCTTTGTGGAAATAAGCACCTGTCTAGAGTTTGCAGGTGCTGAGGGACAGTGGGCGAGGTTCTCGGTGTGGAACGCATGCTGCGAAAGTGAAATGAGCTTCAACATGAAGACAAAGAGCTCCCACGGGCTGTTAGTTTACTTTGACGATGAGGGATTTTGTGACTTTCTAGAACTTCTCATACTGAACGGTAAACTGAGCCTGCGCTTCTCAATCTTCTGCGCTGAGCCAGCGACCGTTGTGTCAGACACGGCGGTCAACGACAGCCAATGGCACACGGTCACGATAAGGAGAAACTTTAAGAACACAACCCTCACTGTGGACAACGAGATCAAGTGGGTGGAGGTGAAATCGAAAAGACGAGACATGACGGTCTTCAGCCCTCTGTTTGTCGGTGGATTACCTCTGGAGTTGAGGTCTGTGCCGCTGCGCCTGACGTCAGCCGTTGCCAAGGATCAGCTGCCTTTCGCTGGGTGGATAACAGATGTAAAAGTCAACAATGCGGAGTCTGAGATGATCACCAGTGAGAGGGTTGTAATGGACATCTGTGGTAGAGCCAACATGTGCTTAAATGGAGGAGTCTGCAGTTTAATTAACAACGAACCAACGTGTGACTGTTCAAACACGGGCTTCCAAGGAAGAGACTGCAGTGAAGGTAAGACAAGTTTTTAGCCATCAGTCTGAAATAATCGTACAAAATCAGCTACTTTGTTGTAATCAGCTAGTCTTAAAAATAGTGCATTCCCTTCCTCTATTTGAGTAAAGTCTCATGATTGTCACAATCCCATCATGTGTGCTATTGATCAGCAATAGCTGTTTGTAAAGACTGGATCTCCTGCAAGGCCTCATTAGCAAAAACATGCAGGTGTTTCCATCCCCAAAGGTGTCCTCTGTTCCTATCAAGTAGGCCTAAGGGGAATAGTTGACCTATGAAAAATCTCCAATGGGTTCCCACAAATGAAAGAGCAGGGACAGTGGGTGGGAGTGTAAAAGAGTAAACATGAGTGATATCACTAACATCTAAAAATGGATCCGAAGCGACAGCAGCAATGGTGCAACGGTTTATGGATCAGTTACGACGGATGATGATGCGCTACGTGACATAATTCATTCTTAGGAAAGGTCAGTATAATTAAGCAAAATAAAATAATTAAAGACCCATCAAACAAACCTGAAAGATAGCTTGGAAATCAGTAGGAATGCTCATTAAGGGGTGATATGTGTAGGATTACTCTGTCACGCAATCAGGAAATACTTTAGTTGGTATTAGATATAAGAAAAGTGGGATTGTTCACGATCTTTGGTGAAAACGTAGAGATTGGGATTGTGTCTGTGTGTGTTTACTCTACATTTATTGTTCATGTAATGAATACTGATGTATGTTCTCTGGTAATACACACTTTTGTACTATAAGCTCATCATGCAAACGCTAGTATTTTATCATTGGAGGAAACTCATACATTCTAGGAAACAAAGTGTTGAATTTACTTAAATGGTTCCAGTAAACGTAGCTGCTTAACTGTAAAGAGTAACACACATTTACTTTTAACATACAAACATAAAACAATGTTTATTACTCTGTAGATTTTAGCAAGTAGGTTTAAAGGAACCAGTTGATGTAACTTGGTCAAGTCTATTCAATCAGTTAACCGATAATTGGGTTATTTGGTTGAAGTTGCCAGTTAGCTTGATTGAATAATACATTGAGTCTTACATTGTTTACTGGACATGTGTGAAAAGAGAGCAGGAAGAAGCAAACTCTTGCAAGGTCCGCCCCTTTCTCAATGAAAACAAAATAAATGTCATGGCTGTAAACAATCAATTACCTTAGAATCTAGGATGCAAACATCATCATTCTCTTATTTTAACTAAGAGTGTATAAAAGTGTAGTTTTTTTTAATAAAGTGTTTTAAAGTGCTTTATAGTTTTACTCCATACACTGAGATGCACCTTTGCTTTAAGCAGGTATACACAGCTGTACTTTAAAATCATACTTCTTTCTATTACTCCCATCACTTGGTCTTAAAACAACAACAACAAAAATTCTGTAAAATGAAAATGGAGTCAGTTCCTTTTACCTTTAAACATATCTAATACCATTTATAAATTGACCAAGTTCCAAAATTTCTGAATATTTGATTGATGAAACAAATGTTCTCTAAAATTCACTTAGTATTCAACATTTCATTTCTCAGAGTGAAAGTTTGTGCCTTTTATTAAACTAATTAAAATCTGATACTATTTTTCTCTTCACTCCCTTGCAAAATAAACAATGTGTAACTAAGAGGTCAACAATGCTAGATTTGTCTTGGGTACCGGTTAAGTGTTAATTTAAACATTCCCATTTAGTGACAAGCCGCAGCTTGGTCTTCCGTCCCACAGTAAACCTGGCTGGCTCTATTATATCTAGTTCTACAGTGAATATTTAGTTGAAGCTGCAACCAACATTGCTTTGCTCTCTTCCTTCTGTTCTCAAGAGCAAACTGCCTCGTCTAAAAGCCTGTGTTTTACTTTAGTGCTGCTGCAAAAAAGTTACTGTATATTTAGTCAGAATTATTGCAAAGTACATTTCTTCTTATGGTAGACCTCAGCATTTTAGGATAATTAGTCGAAATGAACTGCAATTAATAAAGATCCCCTGCAACACGTACTTCATGTCTTTCTGGTTAATGCTGACGTTCTCCTATAGTACATATGTAACATTTTATTGGTAAAAAATGTCCAGAATCTAATTTTTATCAGCTGGTGTAGTCTGTTGCCAGAAGTCTGCCGGTATACTCTGTTCAATTTGGGCCACTTCTCATTTAATATGCAAATTTGTTGCTATATAATTGGCTAACCGCTAGCCATGAGAACATGGCTTCGTGGATTCCTCACTCTGCGAAACAAAAAAAGTGCAGAAGTGTTGTCGCTGTCGTGTAGAACCACTGCAGCTATAGCTCTAACAGCTATACAGCTAACAGCCAACTAGCATTGTGTAAACTGTTTTAAAAACATAGCCACTTCACACTGTAGGTCGTAATGCTCAATTCAGAATTTTTTTTTATAAATCCATTTGTGTGTGTGTGTGTGTGTGTGTGTGTGTGTGTGTGTGTGTGTGTGTGTGTGTGTGTGTGTGTGTGTGTGTGTGTGTGTGTGTGTGTGTGTGTGTGTGTGTGTGTGGTTGTTCATATTATAACTGAAACGCAACAGCAAACACCCTCCAGTTTGAACGGTTTACGGTGCCAAAGTGGCCCGCATGCGCAGAAGAAGACAAGAAGTCGTGCACAAAGTGCTTCGTGGGGTCGGAATCAGGAGAGCTGTGATGTGAAAACTTCACAGTTTCAGAATCACTCCTGCCAGGTCTACCGTTTTAGCCAGGAAACTCCTACTCCTTATTCCTGCCGTCTTCCTGTAGTTTTTTTTTCCAAAACTTGAAAGGAATTCAAGACAAACCCCTAAGTGACATAGAAGACGAATTTAATGCCCCATGATAGACATCAGATACGTTTCAGATTCAGTACCACATTTGAAAGTGACCTGGATCAGATTAGTTAAAACTGAATTTGTGCTGTCCAGGCTGCCATTTAAAAAATCCGGTATAGGTTGACTGTGAGGAAAAACATTGGATTTATTGGGTGTTTGACTGCAGTGTGAACGTATGCAACGGTAGAACATAAATACTTTACTTACGGGCTTCGAGGATTGGCATGATGGTTCTACTCCAGGCTTCAGCACCAACCTGTTAGCGAAGCCCTTGTTTAACTGGCCAACATTAATAAAGTCACTCTCTTCAGAACGAGCTAAACACTAGGTTACTATTTTGTACATTTTGGGAATTGTTCAAAAAATAAACTGAAGCAATTTATCCCTCAGGTATGGATGCTTGGGCAGTATGTGCATGTAGAGGCCCCGGTCGAGCTTAGTGCACAAACACGTTGACATTCCACCATATTTGCAGGAAAACTAACTGCTACATGAAATCTATGGGTGTGTTCTCACCTAAGCGAGCTGATGAATACTAATGAGCCCAGTCGATGGGACATCAGACTGACAGATGTTTCCAATGGGCCTGAATTCTCAGCACATTTTCTTTCGGTGAAAACGGCAGATAGAGGAGTGAGCAGGTCATTGTCACACTCAATTCCTTCCAAAAAACACATCTGGACCTACTTTATATGTATATATATATATATATTTTTATTCTTTTATTTTCTTGTGGCAGAGCACCTTTAATTCCTCCACTAACCTAATATGAATGCTTTAAACTATTATGTAGCACACAATCTAACCAAATGTTGAACGTAGTCAATCAATAATCAGTCACTTTATTAAAGACACAAAACAGATAATAAAAACAGAAATAAGTAAAATAGGTAAAAAAAACATGCAAGCTATTTTAGGCTCACATAAAGTCTAAGATGCCAATAATTCCAGATGTTAGATTGAAACATGTCAGAGCTCTGTGAGGGGTTTGTCAGGGACAGGATTATACTGTTCTTAGAGTCCCTTAATCTACACATACAACTGTACATGAGATTCCGTCTCACTGCAGGGCTGCACTTGATGGGCAGCAGTAGCTCAACAAGTTGAGCAGGTTTTCTAGTAATCGGAAGGTTGCAGGTTCGATCCCGGCTCCGGACAGAGAATTCTGCTCTTGTGTCCTTGGGCAAGACACTTAACCCACCTTGCCTGCTGGTGGTGGTCGGAGGGACCGGTGGCGCCTGTGCTCGGCAGCCTCGCCTCTGTCAGTGCACCCAGGGCAGCTGTGGCTACATCGTAGCTCATCACCATCAGTGTGTGAATGTGTGTGTGAATGGATGAATCATACACTGTAGTGTGAAGCGCTTTGGAGTCCTTACTCTGAGAGGCACTATACAAGTGCAGGTCATTTATCATTTACACCCACATTAACAAACATTGTGCTTGGCATTCTAAGCATTGTCCTTAACCCATCATTATACGCAACAGTGAGTTTCCCCATGCTGCTTTGCTTATAACGCTTCCATAGGTGGGCAGTGTACATAGGGGTACAATATGCTTTAAGCAGTGCAGTTTTCACAGGTACAGTACACATTCCAAGTCTGTGCACACAGTAGATGGCATTGTCTATAAATGTCCACATCGTCTGTCAGGTCAGCACATATGTGATGTCCCAAATATTTAATCACAGTACATTCATTTAGCACAGCACCGGATAGAAGGAAATCTGGAAAAATCTGCTTACTGTTCTCCTTGCTTCTCACGATTAAAAGATGGCTTTTGGTTTTTTTTTACATTAAAAGTGATGTCAAACTCTGACCCATACTGAGAGCAGACCCTCAGTAACTGCTGAAAGCCAGCACTGTATGGACAGAAGATCACCAAATCATCTGCATACATTAAGTGGTTTATTATTGTCCCACCAACCACACATTCAGTTCTGCAGTCATTAAGCCGCTTCGACAGATCGTCCATATAGATATTAAAAGGAGAGGACACACAACTACTCCATTTCACATACATAGACTGGTGAGTGTACCAAAATGATAAAATCCTAACTACAGACTTACAAAACACCTCTGTCCTGTAATTTATTAAACAATTTTTCATGGTTAACATGAGCAAAAGCCTTTGATGCGCCAATAAAACCCATAAAAATAGTGGAATTAATCTAAAAGCTCTTTCAGAGCAAGA